GTCCTCCTTTTTTTGCATTATTAGTGAAACTGCGAATTCCAGCAACCCCAACCTCATTCCATCTCTGTGAGAAAAGCTATTAAAGCATACACTCATTCACTGAGCTGGAGGAGAAAAAAGCAATTCTTATGGCCTTCTGCCTCATCTTTGATAATGTGTATAATTTCAAAACCTTTATAAGGCTGGAAAATCACTACACAATTCCGTTAAGGTTATTATTGTTTTAAAAGCTTTTGTCAGATTACAGGGTTCGTACGATCCTTAAGAGTCCTTAAAAGTCCTTAATTTTAATCATCTGAAATTTCTGTCTGTTTTTACGACTGAAACATAAGCATTTTGAAACTCATTTTTTCTAATAAAGATATTTTAAACAATTTTTTGCTTTTGAGGATGTGAATTCTTTTATTAAATGGTTCTAAATTTGGAGACTTATCAACATTTTGGCGATTTTAAGATCAGTTTCTATAGAAACTTTTTAATTCCAAGATCTGAGAATTTTTCGATGATTTTTTTAAAACATTGTAACATTGATAAAATTCATTAAAATAATGGTAATATATTGAAATTATATTTAAAATATAACATTAAAATAAAACATTTTTATTTTTCGCTGTCATATTATAAAGTTTCGTTTTGGCCACTTATTATACAATATTTTGAATTTGAAAAATAAACAAGGTATAATGCTATAAAGCATGATTTACAGCACTTAGCAAAAGCAAAATTAGCCATGCAATTAATTAAAAATGTCCTCTTTTTAATTTTTTCATATTAAAAGTTTTTCTCATGTAATTGTCTCAGAATTGAAAAAAGTGACCCAGAGGTTATTGAACGAAAACATTTCGATTGACAAATTAGTCGGTATTCTCAACACAGCAATTATAGGACTTGAACAGCGGAACTTTGTAACTAAACAAGAAATTATGTCTGTTTAATAGAATTAAAGAGAAAGTATTATCACATGAAACGAAGCAACTTACATTGAAGGAAATGTTTAATAAAGTAAACAAATAAATATTAAGCTTTTTCTTTTTGTAAATTTTGATACCCTTTAGATCATAATTGTTCTTTATTTCATAAATTACGGTTTCATATTTTTAATTTTGTAATTTTTGCATGCCATCTTACCAGATTTAAACTGATGATCTATAATCCGGAATCGCCGAAGTCCCGACGAGTCCGGATTAACGACTTTTGACTGTATTTGAATGTTTCACTCCTGATACTAGAATCTTTTTCTTAACATGTTTATCTTTCCTTTTATTTTCTCGACTTTTCGCTTGGCACAAACATGGAAAACATCAAAAATGCTTCTAATCTTATCACAGGGGCAGGCATTATAGAAAGGGATTTTTTTATTAATAAAGAAATTGAAAAACTTACAATTTAAAAGATTCATCTAATATGTCTTAACACATCATACACAGAGCTGGCACTAGGTATCTTCCCACCTGATGCAATCTCTGTGGATCCTAAATTCTGCTGCCTAGTATCTTTCTAAATTCTGTTTCCAGTGTGTGCTGTAAATTCTAAGTTTTGCCATTTCTAAATTTTGTTGTTCGGTGTGTCACTAAATTCTAAAAATTCTGAGCACCAGCTCTGTAACCTTCCTTTACCATATATATATTTCATATTTCTTCAGAATGTTCATATTACTAAAGAAATAAAATTAGCCACTTTTTTTATACATTCTAAGTGCATTTAATGTTTTTTAGAATAACACAAATCCTTAATTAAATCCTAAAATGAAAAGGAAACTTTGTAGAAAGAAACTGAATACATAAAGAAAATTATTCTTCAAAAATATGTGCAGTTATTATTATGTGTATTACCCAATTGTTTATGATTTCAGCCTTTACTGTAATGTCCCTTTTTTATTTCTTCATATGATAGAGTTACTGAGGCAGATTAAATTAAGATTAAATGTATAATCTTTTACCACTAGTCCACATTTTTAGTTTGAACTTGACTGTTCTTGTTTAATTACGTCACCGTAATAGTTGATTTTGTTAGCATTAGAACATGCCTTTATGTTCTAAGTTCTTTTAAAAAAGAGGCTTATTTAAGCCTTTGTCTGATATTCTAGTTTACTTTCAGACATAGCGATAAATTGCTTCATGTCTGTCGGGGGGTTTTGGATTATTTAACTTTTACCAGATCAACTAAACCCTCATAGGTACATTGTGAAAAGGTTGACAAGTTAGGAGATAAAGCACGCAGAAACTAGCGAGAGTGTATGTGACAAAATGAGACATTAAAAAAATCAACATAAAGCTAGTAAAACGTAAAGGTCACTTATCTTCTTTCAAATATGTTCAACTGTTATAATTGTAAAGTATTTAATGCTACTTGATGAATTGCATAAAGTTTATTTTATTCTCTAACTTATTAATAATTATGTTAATTCATGTTTACTAATAATGCACACTACTTACAGATCTATTTTATTTTTAGGATGGTATTATAAAAGTGAAATTCAGGCACTGATAATATTTTTAATTGAATTTATTCAGTTCCCATTTGCTCATAGGTCCTTAATTTTTTTCATTAATGGTCCTTAAAAGTACTTAATTTCCATGTGCAGAAATGTGCTCACAATAAGCTCACAAATATTATTCACTTTTTCAATGAATATGGTACCCTAATAGGTTTTGAATAGAAGATGTTTAAAATTTTTGCAGGGAACATCTTTTCATATAAAATTTAGAAGATATACAATTTATGCATTCATTCTTCTCATCATAGGTAATTAACAATACATTGAGATATTTTAAAATTCAATATGAAACATTATGATATACAGTCAAAAGTCTTTAATCCGGACGTCCATAATCCGGAATGATCTATAATCCGAACCTCAAAGCTACAAACCTTCTGCTCATGCGTTAATGCATAATGCGTTTAATGTTTAACGGACGGTATAAGGTAAGCTAAAATTATCTATTTTATTTAATGTTGCAGATTGTGTTGTTCCGTAATCTTCTAATGGATTCGGCTTGTTATTTTTTGCAGACTGTTGGAGCAATTTTATAAAAGTAAGCTTGAACTTTCGCTTATGTCAAAAAGAATTTCCGATTCTGGAGCTGGCAAAGGATCTACAAAGCGAAAGCATGTTTCGATGTCCATCAAACAAAAAGTGGAATTGCTGCAAAAAATGGATAAAAGCATATCCTTTGTTTCTCTAACCATTCCGAAATCTGTTTATCAATTTTACGCTACTCTGGGGGGGGACGTCGCGGTACGCAATGAGCTGGAAGTTGATCTGTCAGCACTATCCTTATCTTAACGGGAGATGTTTTTTATTTTATTCGGCTTATAATTCCTTACTAAATGTAGTAGTTCATCTTGATGTACTCCGTCTTTGATATGGTTTAAATCAAATTCCTCGGCATTATAAATATCACGAATACACATTAAATAGTTTTCTGGTTGCAATTTTCTAATTTCGTCTATGCATAATGTATGCTTTACGCATGCGCACGTTGAAAGAAATGTTTAATAAAGTAAACAAATAAATATTAAGCTTTTCTTTTTGTAAATTTTGATACCCTTTAGATCATGATTGCTCTTTATTTCATAAATTACGGTTTCATATTTTTAATTTTATAATTTCTGCATGCTGTCTTACCAGATTTAAACTGATGATCTATAATCCGGAAAAACCGATAATCTGGAATCGAAGTCCCGATGAGTCCGCATTAAAGACTTTTGACTGTAATACCGTAAGAAAACACTTCAATATAAATCTCTAATGATATAATGTAATATTTAATAAGACAATAACACCTTGAATAAAATCTTTGGCATGTCCTCTCCAACAGATCAGCATGACTAGCTTGCTGATGGTTGGTGAGTGCTAGGTACAAAATATCAAAAAACCTCCGTTGCCTAATAAAAGGTAACTGGTTTTTGGCATTGCACATTGTATCAAAGTGTTTTTGTAAAAATACAAAATTGAAATTTAAGACAAGTAACTTGTATGACCAAGTTAGTCTTTGCTAGAATTTTGGAAACTAGAAATAAATATTACCCTACAACAAGAAGAAAGAAAAAGAAAAAAAAAAAAAAAAAAAAATTGTTACAAAATGTTTGGTTTTCTAAAATTATGTGTTACATATGGGGGGTTATATGTGTGTGTATGTGGTAGCATTTTTGAAATGGTCAGAGGATCGTGCCTGGTATGGAAAATATACAAAAACCCAAGCCAGTTTCTTGACCATAGTTGACTCTCCTAACAAAAATAAAATTAAAAGATAAAATTTTGAGGGTGTTGTTAGGAGTATTACATAGGGGGACAATTGGGCCTATGCTATCACTTCTTGCTTAGAGAGGACGCAAGAAGTAATACACATAGTGTGATATTTCATGACGAAAAAAGTATAGCATACATTCGTTTTTATTAAGAATCTGGTATGAGGGCCAGATTTTCAATGCGATGCACAAAGTGGGTTTGTGCAATGCAAAATGTGGGTTAGAGTTTTCCCTCGAAGGGGGCCCAAATTTTTTAATGGGAAAATACTAGGAAGAAGGAAAGGCAGAATAGGAAAGGAGCCAGACTCGGAAAAGGTTAAGATCAGGAAAATAATTTGTCATAGTTAAGGTTTAAGTCTAAATCAGGTATTAAAATGTCATAAACAGGAAAAATTTTAATAGAGAATTTTGAAAAATTAAATTAATTTTGGACAGAGATAGGAATTCTACTAATTCTAACAGTTAATTTAAATTCACTTGCTAGATTAGTTTAGTGGAATGAAGAATTCCTGATTTCTTTTTAGTTAGAGGATTAGGTTTATCAATTTCATAAGTAACTTCAGAATATTGTTTTATAATTTTGTAAGGTCCTGAAAATGGAGGAGAAAGTTTGCGTGTATTAGGATATTGAAATTCTTCATAGATTACTAAATCACCTATTTTAAAATTACTAGGTTTATAATGAGTATCATATCTTTCTTTATTTACATTATGATAATCATCAGATCTTTTTTTAGCTATTTTTCTAGCTCCTTCTATTGGTGGATATAATTCTTGATTTTGAATTAAGGAATCATAAGGTAATTTTCCATGCATTAAGTATGATGGTGGGAATTTTGTTATAGAATGAGGGGTGTTATTAGTTACTTGGGGTAATAATTTTGTCCACGCAATGTTACCTTGATAAGAATTTAGTTTACATTTTAATCTAGTTGTAATTGTTTGATTAACACGTTCAATTTTACTGTTAGTTTGGGGTCTATTTGCAGTAGTTAATAATTGTTTTACATTTGATTCCTTAAAAAGTGCTTAAATTTTGAAGATTTACAGGATTCGTATCACTTAAAATTTTCTTTGGTACCTGAATTTGAAAAATTTGTCTTAAGCAATTTATATAAGTATCAGTAGTTACACTTTTAGAAGCAAAAGGCCAAATATACCTTGTTGCATGATCAATAATTGTGTGAATATACTTTTTAGTAGAATTATAATAATTTAAACCACCAACAGTATCAATAGACTATTTCAAAAGGTTCACTGACCGATGGTAAGTTTTGCATTCAAACAAATTTCTTTTGTTTACTTTTCTTATTAAACTGACATACTTCACAATGGTTGCAATAATTTCTAACATCTTGAACAATTCCTGGCCAATAATATTGAGGAGATAATAAATTTAGCATTGAGAACATGCCAATATGGCCAAATTGTAGATGTGCTTTTTCAAGTTAGTACAAAAAAAAAAAAAAAAAAAAATTGGAATTACAATTTTATAGGCCTTGTGTTTTAATAATTAACACATCATTTATTTTCTTATATTTAGAATTACAAACATTGTCTAAATTTGATTATTCTTTTATTTCTTCTAATGATAATAAATTAACTTGCAATCTTAAATGCTGAAAAATAGGATTTCTAAATAGCATGTCAGCTTCAACATTAGTGGAGCCCTTTTTATACTTTATATCAAAATCATACATAGATAATTTTAAAGACCAACTAAACAAGTGACCTGTAGGATGTTTTATATTTTTAAGCCAGACTAGAGCAGCATAGGTCTTAACAGCAGTAGATGCAGAAAGCAGTCTCTGACACAAAATGGCGCAAGCTCTCTATTTATAGGAGTGGTTACGTAATATGCTCAAATGTTCTCGAAAGTATTGGTCTAGGGGAAAGATCCTGAAATTGCAGAAGGTTAATTAGAAGTTGCTTGTTTGCATAGAGCAAAGCCATCGGGTTTTTTATATTTTACATCCATATTATAAATAAACGTATATATACAGTGGTGGCCAAAATAGTGAACACTTTTGGAAATTTTTATGTTTTTGAACTTTGTATGCTTATAGAAAACGTTACGTTTCACAAATGCAAACTTGTATATATCATTTTAAAGAGAATTTATTACTGAATTCAATACAAAACACAAAATTCAATTATTTGCAATACAAAAAAGTTAAACGATAATAGTTATCGATATACATTAGATAGTGATGATTGCAGTGAGTTATCAGTACTTAGTAGGGTACCCTTTATTTTTGATTACAGCTTCACATCGACGTTTCATTGAGCTGACAAGAATTCTAGGCTCTTCTTTCGTTATTACATGATGCCAGGAACACAATGATAGCCTCAATTAGTTCCGTTTTATTTGATGGGCACCTCATTCAGACAAGAGTTTTCAAACGGTGCCACAAATTTTCGATAGGATTGAGGTCAGGACTGTTTCCTGGCCATGACAACAATTTAATGCTCTTTGTACGAAACCACTCTTTCGATATTTTGGCTGTGTGGCAAGGAGCAGAATCCTGCTGAAAAATAAACGAAGCATTGTTGGGAAAGAGATCTCCGATGGAAGGTAGAAGTTTTGGTTCTAGAATAGTGTCAATGTATTTTCTGACATTCAGTGTCCCATCGATGACATGAAGGCGACCAATACCATCTGCTGACATGCATGACCAAATCATAACACTAACTGGGTTCTTTACAGTTGCTTGAATGCAGTCAGGATGTAGCTCTTCTCCTATTCTACGTCTTACATATTTTCGCTCATCACTACCGAATAACGATATCTTAGTTTCATCACTTCATATAACTTGTGACCACTGATCATCTGTCCAATTAATGTGTTCCTTTGCCCACTGTAGTCTTTTTTTTTTTTCCGTTGCTGAAAATTAAGATAAGGCTTTTTTCGTGGAATTCTACCTCTCAGTCCAACATATGTTAATCTTCTCCTGATTGTTCTTGAACTGACAGAAACACCAGCATCATTCAGATCACTTCTGATGGCCGCTGATGACATTTTTCTATCTTGGAGACAGTCTTTTTATTCTTCTGTCATCAATAAATGTGGTGCACCTTCTTTGTTTTTTATTGAATTTGTCTCCTGATATCGTAAACAAAACTTTCAGACTCCAGATGTAGTCACTGAACCACCCACCTGTCTTGCAATTTCAGCATAGGAAAGACCACTTTCTCGTAACACAATAATATTACATCTCTTTCTAGATGTCCAGTCTACTCTTTTATTTAATGTCGTTGCTTCTTGACTAAATATTAAAAATTTTTTCAAAAATTCGTACTTGTAATTGCAAAACAATGAATTGTTTCAAGTGTAAACATGATGTCAGCTTCTACTGGCAGTTACTAACATTTGACTGGTTCTCAGAACAAGAACAGTGATTGGCCAGGAAAGCTAGACATTACAAATCACTTCATAACTGTGTTTTTTATTTATATTAAAGTACATATAACTTTTTTTGTATTGCAAATAATTGAATTTTGTGTTTTGTATTGAATTCAGTAATAAATTCTCTTTAAAATGATATGTACAAGTTTGCATTTTGCGAAACGTAACATTTTCTGTAAGCATACAAAGTTCAAAAACATAAAACTTTCCATAAGTGTCCACAATTTTGGCCACCATTATAAATATATAATCTGTATAACCTACAAGGGTTGCGAGTTTTGGCGAGATATCTAGGTAGTCGTCATAGAACGTAAGTACCAAATATTCTGTGCTGGTGACTTTATAAAAGGTCAAGTAAACCAAACCACACAAAATATCTAGATCTTCTCACTTTGTGTGTGTGAGATTAAAAGTCTTGGTTCAGTTAATTATGAAGCTTTTACAATATATTGCTGCACCCCTGTGATGAGACCGCTATGCATAGTTTGGGAACCAGTGGTCCAAAAGTTCCACGCCATCAATATAATTTTTTTATAATTTCCAATGAGTTTAGATTGCTTTATGACTGTAGATTTCTTTTCTTTCTTTGAGTATCTCTTGGCCACTCACTGCAGGCAGATAAATTTTAAATTTAATTGTCATAGCTGTGATGGAACTGCTATTCCATTGTTGTTCATGCTTTTTGTCAAATGCGGTTTCATATGTTCTGCATTCTGCTTTTCCCATTTTGTTTACAGGAATAATAGGAAAATTTCCTAGCTGCATTTAAGAATTGTTCCAGCAGCATAAAAATTTCAGGTCGTTCAAGTTTGACAACAAAATGTGCGACGTAAAAAAGTTGTTGAAATATATATAATGATTTGAAGATACTTCCCCCACTTTTAAAAGGTGTGGTACAACATCTCCACCTAGTCAAAGATCAGTAAATGTTTTTGAAGATTTTCCTGATTATATATCAAAATAATATAAGTACTCTTCATAGGAACACTAAACATTGTTGTACTCAGAATGAGAGTTTTCTTTTGAGAAATATTTTGCATGACTGTCTACCAAAATAAGATATCATTTGCTCATCTATAGAAAGATTTTTTTCAAAACATCTTTCTATTAAAAAACACCTCATATGACATGAAATTGGCATTAAAATATTTGAATAAAGATGAACTTTATCCAGTTTTATGGCTTTATCCAATATTTTAATTAGCTGAATACAATTTACGCTTGATATTGGTACAAGTAGAATGCGTCATTGGTTATTGCTGTGCGTACTAATGGATTCTTTGTCGACAAGCATCACTATGTGTACAAGATAACAATCTTTCCAAATAATTTCTTTTTTTATATCAGAGTTTCTTAAACTGTGGGTTGCGAACCCGTTGCTAGACCCTGCAGTAGGGGTTCACCAGAAATTTTAGCAATTTTGATATTCCTTTAACTTATTTGTAATATTTTTCAATTACCAAATATTTTTGCATAATATATCTGAAATTTAATAAAGGTAAGACAATACAGACAAAGAAAAACGAAAATGTTTAAATGTATTTTTTTTTATAGTAGAAACATTTATTTTACTTCAAAAATTAGCATTAATGACCTGAAACTGTTATAGTATATCATAGTGCAAGTGAAGAAGCTGACAGTTTCACTCATGCGTGTATCGGATTTGCACAATACTTATGGAGTCCCACAGAAGTTTCGTAAATATTACGGAATCCCCTCAATAAAAAGTTTAAGAAACCCTGGTTTAGATGATTAAGAATTTTTTTAATCATTTTGTGATGAATTCGATATATTTTTTAGATTAAGAAAAATCTTGATTTCACCTAATACATCTATCAGCATAGGTGAATTATCACCTAACACATCATTCACTGAAAAACAACATGAAAATCTAAAATTTGAAATTGGACCAAAAGAAAAAAAAAAAAAAAAAAATCTAAATTTTATGTAGATCTTTCAAAATAAATTTTTTTATTAGTAAGGGGGGGGGAATTATGCAGAAATATATTTGCTTCTGAAGAAGAGCGATGCGAGTCTGATCAGCCTCAAAATCAATATATTTTAGCATATTTTAACTTAATTTGGTGACTTTACTTGAGTTAGAAGTTTTATTCTGCAATGCTTTGATATTATTAACTGATTAGTTATCACAATAAGCAACATATTTTAAATGTTTTCATACACAAATCGGCAGGTGTTTGGTAATTTGTTGACAATATCTGATTGGAAATATTATCTGCTATAAAGCAGTGTGTATTGTGTACTGTCAAATTCAGAATGTTTAGAACCATTAATGAAATTCTAATTGTTTCTTTATTTTTCACCTATCACGTAATTTTTATAGGTGCCACCCAGCCGAGTACCTGTTGTTGCTGGTATCCCATCTCCTGTTCCAGCTATGTACATTCCTGTTTCTCCTGTTCCTCTTGGAATTAAGTGAGTCCCCCTCTGTTTTACTATCCCAGTTTGTTTACAAAATATACCCAGATAGCACAATAAATGTAAAGGCGTTTTTTCTTCTATTCTGTAGATCTTACAAATGAAATTATTATGGACGAAAATAATCTTAACTTATAATTAACTAAACCTGATTTATAGTCAGTCTGACTGTAATATAGTATTTTATTTCTTTGCCATTTGAACTTCTAAAGATGAAAAGAAAAAAAAAAAAAAAAATTGGGGGGGGGGGGTTTCAAGAAATGTATTGGGTACTTCTGTATAAAAGCAGCTGTCGCAGTTTGTCACCAAACTTAGTAAATTAAATTGACAAATTTGTAATTTCAAATCTTGTACAAATTGCCATAAACCTATATATTGATCACTGTAAAAAGAGAGGGTCATTTGTTGATAATATTACATAGTTAAATTTGATTTTGTTTAGTAAGTATGTATTTAAATAATTAGAAATCAGTTTGTTGCCACTTGTTCCACTTTAATATTTAACCCAGTGTTACTCGCACAAATAGTACTCGCACCAGGCCTCAGTTTATAGTAGATTTATATTTTATGCAGGTCATTAAACACCACATTAAGCATTTACTGTCAACATAATTTAAGATAAGGTTTTAGAGTTCTAATTTTATTCAATATATGTGTAGAATTTTTTTTTTTTAAACTTACGAAATTTTATGTGCAATTAGTACATGTTAAAATAAAATTATCTGCACGGATATTTCTTTCACATTTTGTACAAATTATTTTAGATTTTCTGTCCTTTGAACTTGGGCGAATCTAGCACTTTTTCTCCTAATTACCTTTCTGTTTTTAAACAGCAGATTCTTTGCTCTTGGAAGCTAGTTTATCTTGCAAATGTTGAGGGAGACATGGTACAGTGCACCTCTCCGCTGCATGTTATTTCAGCAAATCTATTGCAAGATCTCTCGAAAATACACTACACTTCTTGTGCTGTAAAGATGGATGTTTTGAGTATTGGAGTAATATTTGAGCATTGATTGCAGCAGTATTTAACAATATAAAGAACAGAACCATCAGCCATCTTTTGCTGATTCTTGCAGTTGAATACGCTGCTGACATTTGGCCTACTACATCAACAGCTCCTTTTGTCAAATTATAAAATGTTATTATTTCAGGTTTTGTTTTTTTTTGCCTCGCCTGTTCTTTGCTCAATAATGGCATTGTAGATAATTTTTTTTTTTTTTTTTTTTTTTTTTTTAATACGACACTAAAGTTATATCTTAGGATTTTTACTGTTCACAAACTCTTTTGGTATTTCTCTCTTGTTCTTTTGTATAGTGCCCACTAGAGTAAGGTTCTTCTGAAGGAGATATTTTGCAAGTTCATAACTAGTACAGTCAAATACTGAAAATCCGCCAACTCCTGAAATCCATGTTGCCTCTTGTAATATAAACATTCAGTTTATAGGTTCCGGAACCCTCAACATGGAGTACGAAATATCAAAGAAAAAATACCTACTAAATAATGACGTCATAATTACCGAATAATAATTAGTCATAATGGAAATACCAAATTATTGACATCTTGATAAAAGTTTTTTCCTCTTCTATCTGCATCGAGGTAAAAAAGCAGACGATTCACTAAACTCTTTTTTTAAGATTATGATTCATGTTGTTGTATTTTCTGAGCTTTGTTATTTCACAAGATTGTTTAGTGCGGCTGTTTTTTCATCAGGATATTTTGTGGATAAATTAAGAATATTTTAAATTTCAGCGCTTTTAATACAATGACAGATAAGAAATGCCCTCATGATTTTACTGCTTGCAACGTTGTAAAACGTAAACACGTTGCATTGACGATAATGCAAAAAGTAGAAATTCTGCAAGAGATGTAGGCAGATGCTTCTCCTCGGTTTATAGCAGAATCGTATGGAATTGCAACACAGACTGTATATGATATACAGAAAAATAAAGAAAAGCTGTTGAAATTTTACAGCAATAGTGATTCAAACACCAAAAATCCTTACATGAAGCGAAATTGGGAAACCTTGATGCTGTCTTGTACGAGTGGTTCTGGCAGCATTTGAGTGATGGGATACTGATTTCAGGACCACTCCTGAGGAAAAAGGGGAAGCAGATTTATGCTGGTTTAAAAATAGAGGAGCCATGTGATTTTCAGCAGTGGTTGGCTGAGCAGATTTAAACAGAGACACGGTATACGTAGGAATTTATTGATGAATTTTCTGTGTTAGTGGCAGAAAATCTTAGCCCAGAACAGGTTTTTAATATGGATGAGACTGGACTTTTTTGGCGATGTTTGCCAAGAAAGACATTTGTAATAAGCAAAGAAAGTGCACCCTCAGGAGTGAAAGAAGCTAAAGAAAGAGTTACCATTTAAGTATGTTGCAATGCAGCTGAAACTTACAAATGCAAATCAGACAAACCAAACTAATGCAATGCTTTAAAAGTTTCACGGTAAGAAGCACAGAATTTTTCAATGATTCTTATAAAGCGTCTTCTGATTTCTTTATTTGGATTGGTTTCTATTGCAAAATCAGACAGTTATGCCTTTTTTAACAATTCATTTAATTTCTTGTGAATTAAAGGCATTCTATCTTCTTCATTATTCACCGCTTTTGCTGTCATTAATATGATAAAATTGTCTAGTTCTTCATGCAAGATTTCTCAGTTAATTCTTTCACATTTCCTTTTTCCATATCTGAAAAATCCTTCATCGTCAGTATCTTTTGTAATCTGTACAATTTCTTTGGCTTCATTTTCAGTCTTTGTAAATTCTTTAAAAATTGTTGAAAACTTCTGGCCAGAGCTGATTACAGCAGCCATCCAGTATTGATGAATGAATGTCGAACTGTGTGTAAATGAAATTCTGGCGTTGGACAAATTAAATGGAAATGATTGAGGTAACATGTATGTGAAATAGCATTTTTTAAATCTGTATTTGACAAAGATTTACTGTACTGTATTTTCTACATTTAATCACCTTCTAATTAACACTGCATAGAAACCAGGAGAGAAAAATAAGCAATGCATACTATTTCTGTTAATAGCTTTAAGTGATGGACATATTTATTACTTTCAAAAAGCACATATAAAAAGACCCACTAATATTACCACTATAGTTTCAAAGGACTTATTTATTAAATTTCAATATTATTCTTTTTACTTATACAAAATGCTTTCTTATTTGTGCATATGTTTTGCATTGACCATAAATCAGAAATTTGTAAATCATATGGTGGAAAAAACTAGGGGAAAAATATTCGATTAAATTCAGTGTTTGGATTTGAATAAATACAGTATATATTTTAATTGTTATATGCTTGTTAAATATGGAATTTAATATAATCATTTAAAAGAATGATCACATATTCTCATGTTTATTAGCGGCCGAGCGGGAAAGTCGCTGAACACTGGTAGTTTTGTCCGAGGTTCGAATCCCGCGAATGGGGCTGGCTGCATGGGTGTTTTCATGATTTTCCCCATGTGTAACTTGTATACGAGCCAGTTTCTCTTAGAAAGTCCTCCATGAAGGCATCCCTTCCCTTAGGCAGATAGCCCTCGAGACTTTGACGTAATTAAGTAACCTAACCTAACCTTAACCATGTTTATTAGCATTTTTCCTTCCCTATACGAATGTGATCTTTTATTTTTTCCTTGCAGTACAACCAATGCAGATCCTGCTAAATTATTAGAAGAGCAAAAGAGGATAGAAAAAGAGAGAAATTTTCAGTTGCAGCAGCAAAGATTGAAACAGTTCACAGTTGCTGGTAAAAAAGGTAGCTTGAATGCTGACAATCTTATAGACAGCATGTTTGGAAAACTCCAACCGAAGAAGACCAATCCTGCGTCTACGTCCAGTCTTAAACCTATTGGTAAAAAAATAAAAAAAAATAAAAAAATACTTTTTTTTTTATCCAGATTTTTATAAAGTTTTTTTTTTTTTTTTTTCCCAGCACTAAAATAATTTTGTTTTAAGTTATTGTGGTAAAACAAATGTTATGGTACTTCTTTGTTAACCCTTTCGCTGTCCTCTCCTGTCCGTGAAAATCCGCCCCCCAGTGGCCGTCTGTTTTTCGTAGCGTAATGTTGTTTTCTCTGTACATCATGAATTTCGCAGTGGATGAATGTCAATGAATATTAATTATAAGGAAATAAAGCATAATGGAAAAATAATATCTCTGCTTATTTCTAACAGCAGGATAATTTGATAACATCTGTTCCAGGCGGTCCACTTCTCCCATTTTGTTGTTGTAGTCTGTAAGTACGCATATACATTCTTTGTCGCTAAAACTCAATAATAAATTATAAAGAAATTTCGCTTACCTGTCAGACGCATTCTCGCCTTTTGTCATTTTCTCTAGATTTTATTTGAGGACACAATACATTTACAATAAATGGAAGCACATATAAACTTTAGTTAGTGTTTTGCATTCATGTTACATCTTTCTCAGTCATCAAGGTTCTGCACGAGTTCAAGGAATTCAAGCACACACAGCGCTATCTGGTGCAATACAGTTTCTACATAGTCTTTTACAGTTATTAGTTTTTACAGTACTTTTCCGTGTTTCATCGCGTTGTTATGGCTGTACTCATCAAACGTATATCCTTCTTGTCTTTCCAATTCACAACCTTATTTTTTCTCTTTTTCTGCTGAGTAGACGTTGAAGCCATCTCTCACTGTCTTGTATCTTATGTAAGATGGTGCGAATATTCATAAAACCCGGGGTAAATTCAATTAGAAATAGAATGCTTGATTAGTGCTACCCTCTAAGAGGTATAGAACAAACAAAAATAAAAACTCAAACAAGTAAACATTTAGAAAGCATTTTAAACGTTTAAAAGTTTTAAAATGTAGAAGAACGCTTGAACCGCGTTACAGCCTCCCTGTAGAAGTTTCACTTGAACGCGCTAGACGCGTTATGGACGATGAAGAGGTTAAACTAGCCAAAATGCTTTATCGCTAAAACTGATAAACTTAATCACCCAGTCTGTAACATGTAAATTTTAAATATTTTTTGAGACTGATGTGGTGGGTGCTTTAACAAGAATGTACCAATATTGTTATTTTTTTAACCAGTTAATAATGATGCAGTTTTTATGTGTAATATTATTTTTATTAAAATGTGAATTATTAATTTTATGACAGTTTTGGGGTTAAACAGTTTAACTACTTTCTTCATATTTGTAATTGTACTTTATGTACATTTTATTATCCTAGATATAAATTTAAGAATCTAGTATATGGATTTTAAAATAAGAATTTTTTTCATTAATTTCATGTAAATAACAGTACTATTCCAAAATAGTTGAGCATTTTATTTTACAGCGAAACCTTTATTTCATGAATACAGTTTGTTTCCAAAGGCTGTTCATCATTCGGAATGTTTGTAGTTTTTGGACCACAGATGATTGTTTATCTAAATTTTACAACACTACTCAGTGCACAGGTTTCTAACAGAGAACCAATGGAAATCATTAAATTAAAACAAAAAATAGAATAAAACTTTGCCGCCATACAAAATTAGGTTATATAGAACCATAATGTTTATTCTCATGTATTCTGCTTAAGTTCTATAATCTGTATTTTAATGTGTTTCTTAGAGTCTGTAATTACACAAATAGTTCTGAAAAGTAAAAGAAGCATATTTAGTCTGATAGCAGAGAATTAATAATCAGCAGTATGGTTGTTTAAAAAAATTCTTTATGTATTGATTGAAAATATATTAAGATTATTCCAATAAATGCACATATAAATATTTCAGATATATGTATTTTAAAACAAATGTACGAATATCTGTCAAAAAATACATATATGGATTTACACTGTATTTACTCACGTATTCCTTCCCCTCCCCAGCATTTTAGTGCCAGGTTCGGACAATTTTAAGAATGTTCTCAGAAGTTTCTCCTTCATCATTGCATTCAGGTAATGAACCCCCACTAAATTTTTAAATGGATCTATCGTGCAGTGATCTCTTCACATTACTAGCAAAGGTAAAGTTGCAAATTACCTGCGAATGTCATGCCGAACATTTTCCTTCTATCAAACTTCATGCCAGCATAATATTAGAACCGATCCATCATAGTGAAGCACATGCAGACTGACATTCAGTTGGCAATTTTACCGAGTCACCTGCACATTTACTTTCTCTAATTATTTCTAAATTATGCAAAACTTGAAGAGTAGCAGAGACAACAATGAGAACAGGCAAGTTCAAGTTAATGGGAAGTGGAAATGAAGATATCTTATAAGATAGTATAATGTTAATATTACTTTGTATTTTTTTATACGAAGTAATATTGTGATAGTTACCTGTAGTTTACCAATGATCATGTTTCATTTGTTACTTTCTTTTCCTCTAACCACCCTCTTCAGAAATTAAGTTATCTGCATAATTTTTTCCTTTTGATAATCAGACAATAAGATTAGCCAAACAAAGGGGGGAATACAGTCTTAGAAATATGTGAAACTAAAATTCTGGTTTGTTTGCTCATGTATTTGTTTATTTCCTTTTATTTATAGATATTAATAGTAAATCCCAGAAATCTAACTGCACTGATGAGAATGTATTAGAGTCATGTAGGGCAAATGAAGAAAAAAAAGAAAATATTCAACAGACATCTCGTAGTCAAAGCCAAGTTACATCAAGTAATTTCTCACAGTTGAATGCAAAAGATGTTAAAGGTTTGTATATATATTTACATTTTCTGGTAAATGAATTGTTATAACATAAATAGTGCTTTTATCATAAAAAATGCATATATTGTAGCTATAAACTGAATATTGCTTAATAAATTAAAACACTTCACAATTAGTTGCATTATACACTGAAGAGTCAAAACATTATGACCATCTACTCAACAATGCATTGTGCAACATTAGACTTTCAAAACAGCTCTAACTCGCCTTTGTATGGATGCCACAAGTTCTTGGTAGATGACTGGAGACAGGTTGTACCAAATGTCAAAGCAGCGGTCACACAAAGTCGAGATCTTCTAACATAGTGGTGTTTGAGCTCTGAGCTGCCAGTCCATGACATCCCAAATGTGCTCGGTCATGTTAAGATCCTGCAAGTTAAATGGCCAGGACATTGCTTGTAATTCATCTTTATGCTCATCAAACCACTGTAACACTATTCAAGCTTTGCGACCTGGGGCATTGTCCTGCTGGAAGATTCAATTTCTATTTGGAAAGACAGAACGCTTGCAAGGTGCAACTGATCTGCAGTTATGTTCAAATAGTCCGCAGCTTTCATGGTCTGTCCTACTGTGACTAAGGATCCCAGAGCCGCTTGTGAGAACATCCACCAAAGCATAATACTGCTATCACCAGCCTATATATGACCTGCTGTGCAGAGGGAAGCAACTGTTTGCCTAGAAGGCGGTGTACAGTGACACAGCCATCGATGTGATGAATGAGAAATCGTGATTCATCCAAGTAGACAACTGTCTTCCACTTATTCATGGTTGAGTCCACTGAATGGCATTCAATTCATTGACACATTTTGCAAGCTGATTGTTGTTTCCGCAAGCAATTTGAGAAAGAACATGCTGCAAAACATCTTGATGTAACTAATCTTGAAGCTTCTAATTATGCTTTAGTCCAAAGGCTGTAATTCTGATGTAGCATTAGGTAGGGAAAATTGTTTAATTTCACTTTTACATTTGGTGTGTGGACTGTTGATTCATCAAGAAATAGCAGAATCTTTCTATTTTTTCTAGACATTGTCTCATGAAGAGCAGTCAATAACTCTGACATTATGCTTTGTGTCAATCATGACTTTTTATTATGATGCCAATGGATCGATAAAAGCTTTTGGATTTCTTTGTTTGAAGTATCTTGGTTTTTTGTTACAAGTGGTTACTCTTCTTCCATATTATAAAAAAATAGCATAGTAAGATATTCCTTAGAGCTTTTACCAATGGAGCACTTTTCTTTTTTGAAGCATAGAGTTTTATTAGGCAAAATTTGATAAAATAATCCAGTTTCATCTGCATTGTAGGTGTTTTTAGGCCCGTATTCACAAATTTCATTTAGTTTTTTTATCGAGTACATTACATGTTACATATCTACTGATTTTCTCCCCACTACAAATAGTCTTAAAACTAATGTTATGTATTTGCTTAAATTTTTCTAACTAACCATTTGATGCTTTGAAGCTCATTAGTCCCAGACTCTCCGAAATTTCATTTGCTTTATCTTGCAGTAATACTCTTGGAATATTGTTTGTTCTTAAGAACAAAACTAATTGAACACTACTGTATCATTATCGCGTGTTTTAGTTTTTCTAAATTTTATAGTCGTGAAATGTTCATTTAAATTAGTAATCCATTATGTGTTTATTCTATCCTTTAGGATATAATTTACTTTGTTTTTACTTATTTTAAATTTCTTCCCTAAATCTCTCAAACTAAGCTTTTCAGTTTCTTGTACAGGAATTACATAAACTTCTTGTTTTAATGTTAATTTTTTCCTCTGTGAAGCCATGCTACATAACACAAGTAAAAATTAATACACAAGTACAAAACTATACTTCTTTTCCTCCCCAGTCCTAGCAAGAACTAAAAATAATAGAACTTTTCACTCTGTCCTTGGCAGGTGGTCCAGTCATCTCACCTCCATTTCTTTGCTATTGGTCCCTATCTTGGATTGCATTGCCTTACAATTTGCTAACACTGTTTTTTCCCCCTATTGAGAACTGTAGCAAGAATAACTGGAATGTGAATAAATGTGAAATATCTTTTTGATTGCTCCACAACTTACATTTTTCCAATGTATAATAAACCTTTTTCCTGTTGAAAAGAAATTTAACTTTTCATTACACTGTTCCCTTTATACAAAATTCTTTTTCACTGAGCTCAAATTTGTTTTTGAAGCCTCAAAAAAGACTACTAACAAAGACAAGTTCTGTTTTTATTTATTCCTGTATCTCTTATCTAATTATTGAAGCTTTGTTTTCCCTTAATTAGAGGCACATTAATGTCCCTGTTAAAAGGGGCAGGGACCAACAGAATTGTCCTTTTACAGGAGGTTCTACTGTATTTGTCCTTAGAATTTAATCATATTGCGAAGAAACAGTAGTACCTAAAACCATCAAATTTTGAACATGCCTTACCTTAATTAGAGGCACATTAATGTCCCTGTTAAAAGGGGCATGGACCAACAGAATTGTCCTTTTACAGTAGGTTCTACTGTATTTGTCCTTAGAATTTAATCATATTGCGAAGAAACAGTAGTACCTAAAGCCATCAAATTTTGAACATGCCTTAGTCTTCAACCCAGCCATGTGCACCTCAAAGACAGAATTTTATATTTGTTTCTTATTTATTTCATATCTTGTATGAATTTGGGGAACTTTTCATTTCTTAGTAATATAATAGCTTTTGTGTTGCATTTTAGCAATTTAAAAAATTGTGTTACCATAGACTTAATGTACTAGTGCATTGCCAGTTGATAAAGCATAGGATATTTAATTTTTCTTTCAAATTTAATTCTGTTATTGATTAACAAACTAAAAAATATAAAAGCAACAAATTCAGTTCTCCGTTGCATAGAATAAAAATGTGAAGTATCAAAGAAAAACCAATTTTAAAAGTTTGTTATGTAGTTTTTACTAAGTAAAATGTTTTTTATGTTTACGTTTTGTTTTAACAAAAAAAAAAAACTTTTAAATCATCTTTTAAAATCATGACAAATTTTCTTTTTTATAATAATAATTATTTTAGATGCTTGGGCATAAAAGTGGCTAATTTATTAAAAGATTGATTGATTTAAAGGTAGTAAGTTATTACATATACCTGTAATATTCTTTCCTGTGTCAGATGAGTAGTTCTTGGAATACTGCAGTGCAGTGAAGCATAGGTGCTTTTTTTTAATCATCTCTCAAATATAATAAGTCTGTTGTTGATTCACAAGCTGACTGCCATTTTTCTTTGGGAAAGGATTTCTTTTATCTTTTGCATGCCTTTTGAAGGGTCCAGTTCTGAGTGTGATTTTTAGACAAAGCATAAATTTTTTATTTAACTTTCAGATTTAATCAGTTTGTTATTAAGGAACTATATTGTTTAAAAACAATAAATGCAATGTTTAAAAATTTAAATCTTTTTTTTTTTTTTTTAAGAGTGTAGTTAATTACTATCCATTTGTAATAACTGTCATGCAGTGTTTCATTTCCTAAGAAATAGAACACTTGTGGGGTTTTAGGGGATGAGAGGCAAAATACTCGACATGCCTCTTTCTCGTTTGTCAGTTTGCCTACGTAATGGCGAAAACCGCCGTTTCCTCTTGTGCTAATATACTTAAAAATCAAATAGAAACTATCTCTTTTTCAAACATTAGAGTACTGTCTCTTAATTTTAGAGTGCTAATTTTTTTCCTTGCTAAATTTAATTATTATAATGGCATTTTGTTGCAAAAGTCTCAGTCAGGATGAAATTAACAAGTTGCTGAGAGATTTAGAAAAGGAAAATTTCACTGGTACTGATTTTAATTATTCAGGTGTAGACGGAATATGCTTTGATCAATCCTTTAAAAAAAGATAAAGATTTTGAAGACAATATTAGTAATATATTTGAATAGAGACGGCCAAATAAGCATAAGAGAATTGAGATTACTGAAAGAAAAAAAAGAAAAGAAACTACATTTAGAAGATCCTAGTGTAAACAAATACATAACACTGAATTTTTCAGGTTTAAACACTATCACCATGTTTCAGGTACTGGTGAATGAGCTAGGTGTACAGTCATTTTCATGTTTTTCCCCATGATAAATGTGAATCAGAATCAGTTATTCTGAGTCCTCCATGAAAGTATCACTTTCTTTAGCAAAACTTTTATTGTACTTTGCCTTAATCAAATAATCCAACTGATGTTTAAACTTATACCTTTAGGCCAGTAAATATTGTATTAAATAACAGCCAGCTGTTATGCAGATAAGACCATTGAAAATCTTGTTAGGTAACAGATAGTTTGATTTAGATTCCAATACAAGTGAATGAACAGACTTCATAGGCCTCCACTCCATATATAACATGATTATAAATGCTTTTTCTGAAAAAGTCCTCGACAAAGGTTAAGTTACATTAATTAGTTAAGACGAGCAGTTCGAGGACTATCTGAACATCGGGAGAGATGCCATCATGGAATACTTCTTAAGAAAAATTGGCTCATATTCACAGTACATCCGAAGAAAGCCACAAAAAATCTCTAATGTTTGCCTGGGTTTTAACCTGGGCTGAATTGCTAGTGTTCAGTGATCTTATCACTCTTCCCTTGGTGGGTTCCTCCACCAAGGTATTTCTATTTTGAGGAAACTAGTCCTAGCCTGCATTGTCATAATTGAGTAAGCAGCAAGCATTCCATTGTTAAAATGAACAAAAATTTGTTTTTTATTTGGCTAACATTCGCTACACATGCATCTATATTTATGCAATGTTTAAAATTTCAGCGATTTTCCACGCTTTGTTACCAGATTTCACGTTTTTAAATCCCCTTTTACAATGTGGATAAAACTACTTATATTGTTTTGGTTCCATTTTATACTTGAGCCTTGTGTGTAATAAGATGTTACTTTGGTCCTTAACTCAAGTATTAGTGCATAAAACTGTTAACTTGTTCAACGTTCTCTATTATGCTGGCTATTCTGTCCAATTCATCAGGACATAAATAAGAGACAATTGTCTACATAATAAATTTTCATTCATTATAAATTAAATAAAAACAATTTATCTTTAGATTATCTTTTAGCATGGCATCTCTGAAAAACTTATTTAGATATAACTAAGGCTCACTTAACACCTAAATTGAATCAAAACGTCGGTTACTTTGCATAAAATTTCAGCCAGTTTTAATTTCTTGAAACTCGTATATTGTACAAGAGATAAAGGGAATTCAGATAAATTGATTAATAAAAAATATTTTGTTTAAAAATGGAATGTTGTTTTCTCTGTAATAAGGTATATTCCAACTCACTAATAAATATATAAGAGTTAGGATTGATTTATGGTAAAGCACACGAACGTTATTTGCTTAAGGGGATAGATGCTTTCGTGGAAACTTTTTTAAGAGAAAGCTGCTCATATTTACATTCTTCGTGGAAAATTCCACATGTAATCAGTCCATTGTCCTGGAATTTTATTAGCTTGATTTGGTTTGTTTACTAGATTATACCAAAGCACACAACAACTATAAGGAAGGAAATGCCTTCATGAAGGACTTTCTTAGGCAGGGGTTGGCAACCTTTCTGGAGTTGAGAGCCATTTTTGCTCTGATTGCGTAAATAATTTTTTTAAGAGACAAATGCAAGTACGTACACCGGTAATGTTAGAAAAAATAATGAAACAGTTAACCGCTGTGAAACACGTATTTATTGTGAAACCAAAACATATTTTACATAATAACAAAACATACTGTTGGACATATTAAAGAAAACAAATAAAGATTTTAATAAATGATTAAAATAAACTTAATGATAAAAACCTAATTTCAGTAGCTTATATAACTTTACTTAAAATAAAAATTAAATGTAAAAAATAATAAAAATGCAGATATGTAATATTGTGAGATTGTTGGGATTGGGTAGAGGGACAAAGTTGATCCAACTTTGGTGAATATTCAGTAGTTTTTAACTTCATACAATTTTCAAGGCTTTCATCATTAAGCATACTTCTTTTGCTTCATTCTTTCAACTCGTTCAGCAACTTTGCCTTCAATTCAATTTAAAAATATTGTTTGTGGAATTTGCCAGCAATTTTTTCATCTTCACTAAAATTTCTACAGGAATACAATATTTTGCCACAAAATCGCTCAAGGAAATTATGATGACATGCATTTGGTAGGTAATCAGTGCATAGTTTCAAATTTGTGCAATTTTTTTTTTTTTTTTTTTTTTTTTAGTGAAAGCAGATTGCTTGGTGTATAAGGGGAAGAAAAGTACTAAAAAGTTAGAAATGTTTTTTTAAATACATAAATATCATATAATTCTCAATTAATAAAGTTAATTCACATTGTAAATTTTTAAAGTGTATGTTTCTTTAGATAAGTTGATAATATTTTCCAATTTATAATAAATATCAATCAGAGGGTATTTCTTTTAATACATTTGTGGAAATGGCCAATTTTTACCTTTGTATCTGTAAAAAATCACCAGTTTATGGGAAAGGCAGTTCCATTAATATGTAAGTATCAAGAAAGAAATAAAAAATTTTACCTTTCAAGAGGCTTCTGAAACAGCTTTTGAATTGTTGTAACATTTATAGGAAAGCAGAATCGAGTAGTATTATTGGTGAGCATTGGTACTGGCAAATATCAAAGTATCACACTTTGCAGTACCTTTTATGAACTTTTAAAAAAATGTTAATAGAAATCTTTAACCATATTTTCTGCTGTATATATATTTGTACTGCAGTAAGTAATAGCGAAGTATTGCATTTTAGAGCTAAGTGTCATGATGCTGGAATGTTCAGATTTATCTCGTCCTCAAAAGGCAAATACTTTCCAAAAGCAATTGATGAAAGATCTGTCACATGCATCTCAGCAAAAAGCTACCTTTACTGCTAGTAATAAGGCCAGAGATTGGCGGAATGTTCAAGGCTTGAATGATGTATTCATTTTACCAAAGTCACGTAAGTTTTATTTCCTGTGCTTTGATGTAGGTTAAGTTCCTGTGATTTTTCATTAATATTTTATGTGCATGTTTTCTCCACTTTGTGGAAGTAGAACCTTTCTGAAAACCTGTTACAAGCTGAAAATAACATAAAGCAAAGAAACAATTATCATTAATTTATATGAAGAAAATCTGAGTATTCCCATATATAAAAGGGTCACAAATCTGCCTCTCTTTTACCAAAAATTTTTCTAGTTTTACTATCTTTGTTTGAAATTTGTTTTTATGAGTTCTGCATTTTTTATTAAAAGCACAAAAATTGTGCTGGTAAATCTAAGGGCATATACTTTGTAGATATTTGCAATACCAATTAAATTCTCCCTTGTTATTTCATTTCATTCTCCCTTTCACTTTCTTTTAGGAATATTAATTCTTCTGTTGTGCATCACTGTGACAGTTTTAAAGAAAAGCGATAAAAAATTAGAGAAGGATTAGAACTTGTTGGCGGAAATTATGATTTACTGGTTTGCAAATTTCATGGCAGAGTTTTAACAATTGCTATTATTAAGATATAGTTAAAATAATATATTTAAATTACATGTTTTAGAAAATATTTATATGTTTTTAATATTTATGTATTAATTGCTAAAATATTTTTGTCATGTTTTAAAATGTGTTTATCTCATGTATTAAAATGTTTTGGCGATTTTTGAATAACTGGATTTAAAAATTTAAACAGGATATTGAATGTTACAAAGTAGTTTGCAAACTACTAAAAAAGAGCAATAAAACTTTTGTATTAAAATTTATGTATGTCTAATTTTCCATTTTTTATAGTAAGTGTTTTTCCAGTATGATTGTTTCACAACAAATATTCTGAAAATCAAATATAGTACACAGTTCGTATCAGTAGAAATAACATGTGTGTTATGTAATTTTATTTTTCAAAGCCAAAAATTGAGTGATTACACTAAAAAAGTTGGGCGTGAGAGTAATGCCCTAAATCAACCAATTTCCAAATCCCTCCTTTTTTTTTTTTTTTTTTTTTTTTGAATTATTATGAATTATTTAATTTTTAACTGACGATGCAGAAGTGAGGATATTGGGTTATTCCAGATTTTGAACTTTATATCAAGTAAGAACACTTGCATTTTTTTATAATCAGTAGTTGTTGAATGATTTATTCTTAGTTGCTTTAGCAGAATTCTACCTTTGTGAGCTTTTAATATCAGGTCCCACATTCTTTTTTTTTTTTTTTTTTTTTTTTCCTGCTGCTGCATGATCTTTTGTTGCAATGCCTAGTAAAATAGTATTTCTTTTTGTGGTTTTCAAAGTCTTCTGGTATGGATGTTACATTTATTTTGGAAGAGTTGTATAACTGTTCATCATTTGACAATTGTCAGAGTGCATAATCTGTATTGTTTCTTAAAAATAAATAAATAAAAATGAGGGAAAAACAATGAAAAATTTTGAAGAGAAAATCAATGTTAATTCTGCTGAATCAATGTTAATTCTTACCACTTATTTGCAATGATGTTGCACAGCTCTTCATGAATCAATGTAAACATTTGGTGACTGGCACCCTGTTAATAAAGAAGTTCCCTTAATTAAATTTCAAATGAAATTTTCGTGTCATTTATGTGATGCTAATTATAAAAACTTTTTTTGTGTGTGTGTAGTTTTAAAGAGTAGTTTCAAGTTTTGGGGGCAGTCAGTTTACCAAAGAGTGCTAGTCTAAACCCAGGAAATATTTTGCAATGATTATTCTTTAGCTACCCCAAGAATAGCTCTGATTTTCTCAGCCATTATACTTTCGTCACATAAGTTCAATGAAATAGGACTCAAATCATGTGTATCATTCCCCCTTTGTTTCTTGTTGTAATGCTTACCCACAATCTCTCTATATGTTCTGGCATCTCTATTAGGTACTTCAAACAGAAAGCATATGGCTTTCATATCATGTGTCTGAATGCTCACTGAATATTTAGGTAAGATCCTTCTGAAATTGTTTTTTTTTTTATATACACCACGCACAAAAAAAAAAAAAAAAAAAAAAGTACAGTTCTATGTCTCCCGTTCTACTGGGCCGATTGACGAAATTCAACTTGCGTTTTTCATGTCTCGAAAGCGTGACTTATGATATGTATTATATTTACATATAGCATTGTTCTTAATATAGGTATTTTGACACAAAATCAGACTTTTTCTGAAATAACATATCATTTTTTTTCCATATTTCAATCCTATGACTCAAATAACGCCAAACTACCAAGTTTTATAAAAATCACGCGAGTAGTTTTTAAAAAATTAACTCTCAAAATTTTAGCTCCTCAATGTTGAGTTTGGTATATATTTATTAATCTCTCCTTTTTTTTTATTAAACTTATTTGATACTTCCTTTCATATTTAGAAATTCAGGTTCATTCCAAATAAAATTTGTCCATTTTTTATGATTTATTTTTTAATTTGTATCTTTACAAATTTTTCAAAAAAAAATTTGTATTATAATCTATAAAATTTTTACCGTCATCTTAAAGTAGACATATTTCTAAGCATACTTGCAAAAAATTAGTTTTTTATTCAAAATTTCTGAAGATATACATGAATTTACATATTGGCACATTTGTTTAAAGCGATAAAACATGAAATGTGGTTTAGACACTTTGCTAAAATTATTGCAAAGTAAGAACGATGTGACTTTCTTCCCACTCATGCACAATGTAAAAAGGTAGGAACGAGGTGCCTTTTTTTTCTGCCCTGGCATAATGGAAGGGAAAGGAAAATTGGTTGCCATATATTAAGAGGTTTCCCAAGTGAAATTATTCTTGGTGCAAAAATTTTTATATCTAGGCATAATTTGAGTTGTAGAATTGAAATATGTTAAAAAATTGGTATGTTCTTTCAGAAAAAGTATGATTTTTGTGTCAAAATACCTATGTTAAAACGATGCTATATATAAGTCTAATATATATGCTAAGTCATGCTTTTGAGACATGAAAAACGCAATTTGAATTTTGTCAATCGGCCCAGTAGAACGGGAGATATAAAATTGTCCTCTTTTTGTGTAGTGTACCAAGAGATTCTTGTTGATTTAGATGGTTTTATTGGGGCCTCCAATTTGACCTTTAACATATTTGATAGACATTTCAAAAAATAAACATGGCAACCAAAGACTGAGCAGTAAAGCTATTGATCACTGTACTTCAACCCACATTCAAGTCTTGATCAGCTGGTTGGCTGCATGGGTACTTTCATAGTTTTCATCATGTGTAACATGAATACTGGCCAGTTTCCTTGATTAAGTTAACCGAAGATATCTTTTCTCTTCAGCAGATACATACTTGGCTTAACCCCAAAATTAAATCCAATTTGAGCAAACGTCATATAGTTAATCAGTTATTATATTACAAATATTTATTCCCCTCCCCATCATGTGAATGATAGCATTTCTTCCAACTGACAACAGATGAAATGTAGTATACTCAAAGCATTTTTAATGCATAAAATTAGTTTCCATCACATATATGCTTTTTTTGGGGGTATTCTTTAAATGTATAATGATCTTCAAAGTAAGTTCTTTGTAAAGTTTTATTTTATGACTGTTCTCGCAAAGCATGATAAAATTTCCTTACCTAGAAAAAGAACAGAACAGCATTTTCATTTGATGGCAAATTGTTATATTAATTGAATAGTATTATAATAAATTATTATTATATTAAGAATATTATAATAAAGAAGGGTAATACATAAAAATGAGATAAATGAAAAATTTGAAGGTTTTCATAATTAGAGACCACTAATTATTTCCCCACTCTTCATTTCCCCTCTTTAAACAAGTACTGTGTAATTGTTTCAAATTGCTCAGATAAGTAAGTTTCTAAAATTCACTTTATTTGTTTATTTCTTTTTTTAAAAAAAACCTTCTGGTCTTTATTCTTACAAAATTAGCAGGTATACACTAATACCACTTAATGGCTAGATTTAATATTTTTTATCCTGGAAATTTGGTTTTCATCAAACATTTCAAAGTTGTCATCCCTACCTGCAGTAGCACAGAAAACATTACCAGTCTTTCTGCAACATACAGAGAAATCAAAATGTACTTAAGTCGTTTAAATTTTTTTAAGTAATATACAGTATATTTTATATGTAACTAAATTACTTTGTTGCTTTAAAAAATGCTCCCCTTTTAGCATTGGTACAGTTTTTAATTAGATAAACACCGTCCATCAATAAATATAGTAGTAGAAACATTTTATTTATAAGCTTCAGTCCATTAGTTTCTAATATTTTATTTCTTGTTATTATGGCAGTTGCATCAAAGATCTGTGAATATCTTCTATAGAACTATGAGTTTTCATTACAATTTTGCTATTCATTTATAGGATTTCCAAACTGGTGTACTAAAGAAATTGTTCCAGAGCTATACAAAAAGATTGAAGCATGTGTGACAGCAAATGGCCTGCATGCACCTGACACAAATTTGCTTTTTCCCATATTGATGTCTTCAGGATTGTCAAGAGAAGTTCTTGGCCACATATGGGAGCTAGTCAGTGGGTCCGCCATAGGTCATCTGACCACTGAAGAAATGTATGCAGCACTAGCTCTTATTGCAGTTGCCCAGGTAAAATATATAAATCATATTTTTTAGTTACTTGATATTGCTTGTGTATATTTGCTTTTATTACTTAAACTACATTGGCCAGGAGTTCATTTGAAATATTCCTTTACCAAATATTGCAAAATTAACAAATTATTCAATTTCTCTTCTGTTTAATGTTGTTTTGATTATATATATATGATGTTATTATTAAACGTGATGCTGTTTTGATATATATATATATGATGATAAAGTCCAAAAATTGATGTATCTTAGGTTCTGCCCTTACATCCTATAATGTGATGATAAAACTCTGAAAAATATGCTTTAAAAATTTGTGTCATGCTTTTACCAAACTATTTCAGTAAATGGCAACATTACCAACAAGTATTGGCCTCTAAAAGATTTTTTTATGTCTTTGACTATGCTTCTTATGAGAGACCCCCCCCCCCCAGGTTTTTGAAACGTTAAGTTTTGAATTATTCTAGCCATCTTAATCTTGCATAATTTTATTAAACTTAATTTTTTATGGTACCTATCTTAGATCTATGAATTGAGCATATGGCATTGGAAGTTAAAGCAGGATTTTATTATGAGATAAAATTTGCTTTTCTCATCATTAAACTAATATGCTATTGTTTATACTGACACTAATTAAAAGCAAGTCAACATTAAATTTCTGCGTTTTTAGTGTTTACATTATTATTTTGTAACATTTTATTTCTGATAGGATTTATTCAATAAGTAATGTTTTTTAAAAGGCTGGACATCCAATAAATAGCATCGACATCCTCCATCAACTACCAACCTGTCCAAGTCCACAGCTACATTATTTTTCTAGTCCATCTCAAAGTCATGAAATGCAGAAAGAAGTCAACAGTCCTTTACTTCAAATGCCAAGCTGTGACAACTTAAATAAAAACCCTGTTGCTGCAGAGCAATCCGAAATGTCCGGTCATCAGGTGTTACGGCCAGTGGCAATTTCTTTCAAAGACAGTTCTGTTTCTGATGTTCTACTCAATGTTTCAAAGCAGAGTGTTCCTTCTTTAGGGAATGTGAATTCATCTGGTAAGAAAAATTTTTTGTCAATGATTTTACTTTCTTCATGTGTGCCATATGCATGTTACCACTGTAATCCTGAAACAGTTACTAGGAAATAACGTTATATATTGGGTATTTTTCTTCGTGGTACCTTCAAAGAAACAGTCATTATTTGAAAGGACCTTTACCTAGAAACATATGGTTTACAACATCATTCACAAAAGGCAGGTAAAGTGTACTCGACCAACCTTCAGAGCACACTAGAAAAATGCATTTTGTGCTGTCAAAAGGTGTCATCATATATCTCACCCAATAATCCAGATAGCTTTGCTCATGTTGCTTACTGATTAGTATGATTCCGGATTTTGCGAATTAGCTTATGGTTTAGTGTAATCGTATATTGAACAGTATGACAGTTAATGGTGCCAGTTTCCTCTTAAAGTTGGATTCTTTGGGCTGTCACACAAAGTAGCAATATTTCAACATACCAACTGGATCGAGGTTAGGGTGATTTGATGTTTGCTGTCAAACTTGTGTCCTCATATTTCTTCAGTCTGTGAACTGTTTTCATTGAGTGCACTTTCATGTGCATAGCTTTCTGATTGTCTGTGCTTAACAATCACTATTCATGCAAAGAAGTTTCATAATCAAAACTCTCTGTTCCTTTGTGTAGCATTTCATATTGACTAAGTTGCAATGAAGCTAAATCAAATACAACAGTCTTAAAGTCGAACATTTATTTAGCTGTTATAAGTATGTAAAAATATTTTCCGTTTTCTAAGAATATTCTTTCGGACATATTAAATCTGGCACTTTTGTTGGGATGCCCTGTATAAGCTTCAACTGCTTCTTCTGGGGTGTTAAATCAGTGTCCAGCAATGTACTCTTTTTAGTCCAAAGGGATTTGAATCCCGAAGGACTATTAGTTTCGTTTTGGCATTTTGCGTCGGACTCATAAATGTCGGTTCACTTTTCAAACTGTTGCCACAAAATGTTAGAGTCCTGCATTATATTTGAAGAAATTAAATAATGAAAAATCTGCATAAATGTATGTATATTTCTCGTATTGTGATAAAACAACGGTACATAGAGTCATCGAATTTTGAATAACGTAATCCTCCAACGAATATGAGCATGTGGAAGTCCAAATTTGAAATTTGTTTTATGATCGATTTCCTATTTTTTAAAACTTTGACTAATTTTTGATTAACAAGCTCAAGGATTTCAAAGCGTGCAATGGCAACGTTGTGCAGAAAAAACATTTTTATCTCCAGCGCGTGAGTCTCTGTATCGGAAATTCTAAAGATATGCTCGTTTTAAAACTATTTTGCGATATTGCTGTTGCACTGGATCTTATGGTTTAAGTGCGAGGAACATGATATTTAATAAAGAAAGGTAACACACAAAATGTTAAATAACGCCCCTTTGGATGTAATTTAAAATCTGAAACATTTCAGTTTTTTTTTTTTTTTTTAGACAAGAAAAATCAGATTGAAAAAGTAATGGCTCGTCAAACTAGTTGCTGAAAGATGTCTTGATTTCGCTGTATGTAACAAAATCATTTACAATGATTGTTTTTTACACAGCATCAATTTTTCTGCGAATGCAATAGTTCTGAACCTATTTTCATAAAATTCATCTCTCAGATTCATGTGCTTGGAAATGATTTCTTTAAACTAACTGTGAGTTTTTGCATTGGAGATAATTCATCACCATGTCATTCAAGGTGTCATTCGAATGTGTTCAAATGACATTTTGTTGTTCTGTAAAACCTTTTCAGAAGTCCATAACCCTTTCAATTAAAACTGATACTTTATTATTACCTTCATAATTTGAAACAATGCCTTTGTAACATTTCTAGCTCTAACAGCCAGTATTCACAAGAAAGTTCAAATTTATGAAAAATCATATGGGCTGAAAGTTACTATTATTGATATTGCCAGAGTCTGAACAATTCAGTACTGCCTCTCATTTATTTTCATTTATTATTGTTATTATTTTTTTAAGAGATGCTGTCGTCAGAGAGTTTGATGTTTAGCATTTAAATTTATTTATGTTGTTACTAATATTGTTTACATTCAAAAGTGCTCATCTCGGGAAGATGGTGTCCATGAGAGGAACCACTTGTGCTTAGACTGTGGCAGAAAATCTCAAGTCAGCCTTCATATGAACAAGTCTGATTGCAAATTGTTTCCTGAATATTATGAATTGTATTTTACACCCAAATAGTCACTTTCAATTTCATTAATAACACTTTAATAATTGTTATTAATGAAATTAATTATTTAATTGAATTAATAATTACTGAAAAATAATAAGCATTGCTAACAAATAACATATTTTAATAATTTTATAATAATTTTTCTTATAAATTATTGTAAATAACATATTAACATATAATTATTAGTAAAAACAATGATATTAACTAATAACTGTTAACAAAGAATAATAATAAAGAGTACATATATTTCCATGTATAAGCTGAAAAAATTCAGCAGGTTTTTTTTTATTACTGAATTTAAGAGGTTGGCATATATACAGGGTGAAAATGATATACAAATAATTTTTTAAATCTATGATTTAATTCCTGTGTACATTAAAAACAAATATGTCAGAATCTGTCTCAGAATTTTGTTTTTAAGTTCTGAAGGTTTCTGTCTACTACAGCCAAGTCCGAATGATAACTTTAAAAAATAACAGAATCTGCAGCCCTTTTTTTATCCAGACATCTTTTACTATATAGCTGAAATGGAGAACTTTGTTTTCATTAAATGAGAGCATTGCTCAAAGAGAAGGGGATCTCAAGATTGTTTGAATTATAGAATATTATAATAACTAAAATTATAGAATAATTTTTTTAAACTGAAATAAGATCATCAAATAAGGTCAAAACAAATTATAAAAATTGCCAACTAAGTTATTAAGTTGCTAAACATTTTTTTTATTATTATTCTAGTCAACCATTTATAAGCAAAAAAGCAACTGTAGTTTGACACAGATTTTGAAGGCGACCAGACACAGGGCCCTCTTCTTCAAGAGCAAGAATATTTCTGCAGAACTTTGCTCCTGCAAAGGGGAAAAAAAAACTTCTGAAAACATCTGCTGCAAATGAAGGACTTTTTTGCATAATTTTACATTAACATGTTCTTTTCCAATGAATGAGGAATATCTTCTGAGCATTAAGATTAGGGTTATAAAATCAATCAAATGATTTCTAGAAATGTTATGAACAGTACATAAAATTGTTCTTGTATTTTCCTAATTAAAATTTATATCTTACTTGCTGTACTTGTACTAAATTATTTAAATTTCCTTACTGTTTTGAAAGGGTATTTTTTTCTTATCATTTATTGTTATCAAAATAGCCATGGACCAATAAGATTGCATTAAGTGGCACTTATCGTAGAGCCAAAGTGCCAGAGGATGGTGCATACCTCAAAATTGAGAGAATCATGAAAGAGAATTTATTGGTACCAAAAGCGTCTTTTTGTCTACATTCTCTTACCCTCAATTCTTTACTGAAGCTGAAGAAAGGTAAATTCGCACTCATCTGATAAATCTGTCTGAATTAGGGAACCCGTTATTCACACTTTTGACAACAGCAACAAACTTTAGTTTATGTATGCGTTACCTACAATCAGCTGATATTTTTTGCAGCAATATTATTTTTGTGTTTATATTCTGAAGTATTTCATAATAAACATTTATTACACCTATTAGTCAAACAAATCTATGAAAAAGTTTCAGCCAACTTAAATAAATGAAGAAAGAAAAGAAGCTTTGCAGTCAAATTTCAAATTATGTTATCATGCTAATATCCAACCAAGAATTATTATCTAAAATGTTATTTATTTTTATTAGTTTTATTTATTATTATTTTAGAATATAAAATTCTTATTTAATGTTTGAAGTGTGAAAAAATCAATCAAGTCTTTTTTTGTTGTAGGTTTTGTGAGCTCTCCCGATGACGAGTTTGATGATTTTAAATCAGCCACTCCCACGGCAGTGAATTTCTCCATACATACACCATCATCCGATCAATCCCATGTGGAAGACGAATTTGATGATTTCAAACACGCTGAGCTTGTCATTCCTTCATCAAATGCACGTGAGGCACAAGTAAAAAATTCTGTATCTACAGCTGTTACAAATTCTATATCTACAACTGTTGCATTTGAACAAGATCTTATGTCTCCTGAAGAGGACAAGTACAGTGTGTTTCGTTCATTACAAGGAACTGAAGAATCTAGTTGTTGGAGTAGTTTCACTTCTGCTTCAAAAACTGAAGGATCTAGTGTTTCAGAAATCTGCAGTCAAACAACTGCTGTTGAAAATTCATCTAGTTCTGTTTTTCCTACAGTGATTGTCATAAAAAGTAACTGCAATACAGATTTGCCGAAAATTATTCAGACTGATGTAAAATCTGTGGTGGACGATGATGAATTTGGTGAGTTCCTACATGCTGATATTTCTTCTGCTGTTATTACTCAAACTGAAAGTACTAATGTAACTCAACCTGAGTGTTTAAATTCAAACTTTGCCGATTTCACTAACTTTAAAGATCAGGAGTTGCATGAAACGTCATCTTTAAATGCTGTGACTTCAAGTGTGGATGATGAATTTGGTGAATTTGCAAGCAGCTTGCCAGTATCATATAAACCAGAATCCCAAGACTTTCTTTTTCATCATGTGAAAGATAATATTTCACTTGCTGAAAGTCAATCGGTTTCTAGTCTGGAGTTGGGAACCTTTGATGGTGGGGGTCACAGCGGCGAGTCAAAATCATCTCTTAGCAGACAAGGCTCCATTCCGAGTCTGGACTTGAAAAGTATTTGCTTAGAAGGAGCTGACTCAGAAGATTGTTTTACAGAATTACAGGCCCATGTTTTTACTAGTAGGGGATCCAAGTCTCCATCTCCTGCCAAAGATCTGAAGGCATCTGATTGTAAGTTTCAGCTATATTTCTTATTAGTTCTTAGTTACAGCTCAGAGGTTCCCAGCAGGGTCAGTATTGACCTCCTGAAGTTTGACAAAATTTTAAGGGTTGTCAATGATGATCAAGAAGTCAATAGATGAATATGCATCAGCAGCTGGGGATCAGCATAATCAATCCCATTGATTACAAAAAAAAAAAAAAAAAGTAAAATTTGATAATTGTTTATTGATATAAACTGAATCTTACATTAAGGAAGAAATCATTTAAAATAAATAAAAAGGGAAAATATGCTAAAATGTGTTAATAGTTAATATACTTTAAAAAACAAAAATTTTTAATATTTAAATATTTTACGCAATATAGAAAAGTATAATGCAAGAAACAATAAAAAATACAAAGAATGGGAGACAAGAAACAGGTTGAATATTTCTGAATGGAGTGATTTAAGAATTAAGCTATTTTATGCCAGATATTAAAAGCAAAATTGCATCAGTACCTGAAATGCAGCTTATCATATTAATTAAAACTGACTTTTTGTGCAATTAGAATCTGTGATTTTGTTTCTGAAAACTTGTTTATATTTGTAAAATTAATAATAACACATAAGTAGTAAAATATAAATCTAAATGAACTTTTTTTTTTCCCCCATATCCTTTACCTAGTTCTTCTCTCAACTAGGGGGAACGCAGCCGGCTTTTCATTTTGCTGTTAAGTATTTAGTTTTACTTTATGACTATAAAAATGTTCTTTTATTCAAGTTTGTCAAAAATAATCTAAATCAAAATAAATTATATGTTTTTTTTTTTTTTTTTTTTTTTTTTTTCCAAATTTGTGAAAGAAGAATAGGAATGATCTTGCAATGGTGAAAGGATTTCTTGAAGGAAAAAAAGTTGATAACCACTGGTCTAATTGTTATCTTTAAGTTATTTATGTGCAGTTATTTGCTTTGCATGCTGTGTAGCACAGGAAAAAAAAAGTAAGGAAGTCGTAAAACCATGTAAGAAAACTATCGATTTAAAGGGAGTTGATGCAAAGAAAGGGTTCAGAATTCCTGTTCTAGTTACTTAATTATTGTGCGATAAAATCGATTTCCGTTTATTTGGAAAATGCAGAATAAATGAAAAACGGGCAGAGAAAGTCAATAAAAGTAATTTTTTTGAAAAGTAAGGGATAACCTAATTTTTTTTAAAGGGGGGGGGGAATAGTCCTCTTAAGTAATCAGAAGTTCGTGTTTTAAATAATTGACATGGTCAAGAAATTACTGCAATCTTTATTTTTCTTGCACAAAATATTTAACTCAGCTTACATCTTATAAAATTTTATCAAGTCATAGCTTTTTTCGGCATTTTTTAGTGAACTATTATTTTTTCTTTTAAGAAATGCGCCTTCTCTCAGTTGTACTTCATCCCTTCAGAAGTTAATCTTGTAATTTTAGAAGACTTTATTAGTGTGTAATTGTGATCATAATACACTGGTGTACATTTGCTAAGGATGAATGAACGTAGCAGTGATAACAACCACAAAATAGAAGGCAGGAAACTGGTATTATTGTGGGATACAGTAAGATGTTTTGTGCATATGCAAATTTTGGATTGCCGAAGTTGTTCGTCATATGATAATATCTTCCTGATATCACTAGATGTTGTTATGTGTTGCTGTGTTATTGGCAAGATTGAAGAAGGGCAAAAATAACATGTTGCTAGGGAGTTCGACATTAGCTACAGTGTTGTTTCAAGGCTTTGGAAATCATTTCAGACAAATGGAATGTGTAGCAAACACCACGGAGGAAAGTTGTATTTGCTGTACACCTGTAAAAGATAGGTACATAATGCTATCAACAAAAAAAGAACCAGTGCAGTACAGCTACTGAGGTAGCAAATCCGTTACTTCCTGTTATTGGCAAGCTAATCTCCTGTTGTATGCAGTGATATCGACAGCATCGCAATTGCAGGAAAGACGACTAGGCTTGTGTGCTATTCTCAAATGAGAGCGAGTTCAATCTGTCATCAGATTGTAGACCCCTAATTGATCTGGCATGAGAGTGGTACTACATATAGTCTGGGAAACATACAGGGAAAGAGACCAATTAATTACATGTAGTGTCATGGTATGGGCTGGGATCATGATCAACAGCCATATGTGACTCTATGTGCTTCCAACTGGGGACTATGACTACCCAATAACACATTAATGATGTTTTGTGATGCTGTTGGTGATTAATTTGTTTTTGTGGACATTAAGCCAACATTTCATTGAACAGTCTCTATCCTGGAGTGTCAAGAGAGTGAAAATATTTAATGCCTCATATGGCCAGCACATTCTCCAAATCTGAATCCCACTGAAAATGTTTGGAATGCTTTGGGGAGGAGTGTTGCTGGTTGACAGTGTCCTCCAATAAACAAGGACACCCTCAATATTAATAATAATAATAATGAATTATTTGAATTTTTTCAATGTCTAAGAGATATACGCGGTGTCTTTGGACATAATAGCATAGTAAAAATGATGCAAACTTTAAAAAAATATATCCCTAGGTTAAAAGAGCTTAAGGAAAAAATAGACAAATTTTTCGAAATGTTATCTGAAATTAATAATTTAATAAATACTTTATGCAGTTGCTTAAATTAATTTAGGCAAATAACTTAAAGCTAATCTGAAGTGTTAGCCTAATTCTTATATAAACTTTTCATTTAATGCTAAACCTAAGAGGTATCTCTGTTCTAGATACAGTTAACACCAGAATTAATAGGAAATTTATGATACGATTTTGATCTGCTTGTGTGTAAATTTTTCATATTTCTAGACAAGTCGTTGTACAGCTGGGCTGCAATTATTTTAACTTATAAATTCGAAATTTAAAATTTAAGTAATAACTGCTTAATTAGTACCTCACATCAAACTGTAGTTAATGTTAAATGTCTTTCCCCTCCTCCCCTTTTTTGTGGGGAGGGGGGCTTGACCTATCCTAAATTATATGGCTCTGAAACCCCTCCCCCTCTAATACACCTGCCAATAGCTTTTGTGCTGCACTTTGTCTCCTCTTGCTGCTATTTTCCACAGCTTATTTTGTAGTAGATGACCTGCCTCTCACACTGTTGGTTGGACTAGCCCCATTGCTGCTGTTTGTAACTAACTCTCCGTAGAAGCAAATTGAATTTTTCATCTCAGCAATTATTTGTAGCTGAATTCTCTCCAATTTTGCCTCAAGATTTTAAATTACTATCAGAACTATGTTTGTAACATCTTCATGACTATATTGCTATCACCTGCAAATCTTTTCATCAATTTTATGCTATTCTTATCAAAAGATATGTACGACATCGACGTGATACACACAGCGTAAGGCGAGACCCAGGAACCTGAATGCATGACTTCGTCACTTAATAAGAACAACCTCATCCATGCAATGGCAGAGGAATAAGATAAATTGCTGCTGGGTAATGTTGTACAGAGCATGACATGACTGTGGAATCTTGCATCCCCTTCCATGGTGGGTGTAATATCACTCAGGTCTTGTTTTCGCCTTATCAAAGAAATTATCCATGCTTCACATTTTTAAATGTTTATTACACACCCAAAACTACACTCTAGATCACAACTGCACGACTGGTAACTGAAATATGTACAATACAAAAAAAAAAAAAAGGACAGTTCTATATATCCCGTTCTACTGTGCTGATTGACGAAATTCAACTTGCGTTATTCATGTCTCGAAAGTGTGACTTGGCATATGTAATAGATTTATATATAGCATTGTTCTAATATAGGTATTTTGACACAAAAACGGCATTTTTCTGAAATGACATGCCAATTTGTTTCCATATTTTGATTCTGCAACTCAAATAATGCTAAACTACCAAGTTTTGTAAAAATCGCATGAGTAGTTTTTAAAAAGATTAGCTCTTAAAATTTTAGCTCCTCAGTGTTAATTGAATTTGATATATTTATTAATATCACTTTTTTTAATTAAACTTGCTTGATTCCTTCTTTCAGAATTCGAAATTTTGTACATTTTGGTGCATTTTGAAATTTGCCGTCTTTATAAGTGATAATATAATAACAAAAATGTGGTTTATGCACTTTGTTAAAATTATTTGAAAGAATGAACGATGGATCTTTTTTCTTCTCGTACAGCAGTGGGGGAAAAAAAGAGGAAATTAAGTAGGTTACTATAAATTAAGAATTCTGTTAAGTGCGAAAAATTCTGAATTAAGAATTCTTGGCACAAACTGCAAAAAATTCGCTCTTAAAATTTTAGCTCCTCAGTGTTAATTGAATTTGATATATTTATTCATATCACTTTTTTTAATTAAACTTACTTGATTCCTTCTTCCAGAATTCGAAATTTTGTACATTTTGGCGCATTTTGAAATTTGTCGTCTTTAATATAAGCGATATAATAAAAAAAATATGGTTTATGCACTTTGTTAAAATTATTTGAAAGAATGAACGATGGACCTTTTTTCTTCTCGTGCATCAGTGGGGAAAAAAAAAAGGAAATTAAGTAGGTTACTATAAATTAAGAATTCTGGGAAGTGCGAAAAATTCTGAATTAAGAATTCTTGGCACAACTGCAAAAAATTCGCAAAGCTAAATTTTTTAATATCTCACCAAAAATTACAACATTTTGTATCTTAGCTTAATTTAAGTCGTAGAATCCAAATATGGGAAAAAATTGAAATGTTATTTTAGAAAAAGTCTGATTTTGTGTCAAAATACGTATGTTAGAAGAATTGCTATATATAAATCTAATATATATCTTAAGTTGCCCTTTCAAGACATGAAAAATGCAATTTGAATTTCGTCAGACGGCCCAGTAGAACGGGAATATATAGAACTGTCCGTTTTTTTTTTTTTTTTTTTTTTTTTTTTTTTTCGCTTGTGTACATTTAATTAATACTGAATAATTTCATTTTCATTAATGGTTGCCATGAACCGTCACTTTTCTGACCTTTTCTTAGGTCTTCCTCTTACAAACTAAACTTTTGCCACCTCTCAGACTGAGATCT